GCTGAATGATAAATGGACCCTCTGGAGCGGATACACATTTACGGTGGGCTTGTCAGTTGCATTCAGTAGCAAAATTGCTTGGATGATAACCAAGAGACCTGATTTTCTATTAAAACTATGGAGGCATTTTTTTGGCAGCTGAAATTTAAAGAATTAATTTCGAAGAATGAACTCATACACAAAAGAGACATATTTAATTCTTTAGTGACGCCATTTTTAATTAAGTGCGGACTTAAGATGGAGATATAAATAAATTAGACGTAAATCATTGATCTCTCTATCTTACTATTTGCCACATAACAGCATCTCTTTCGAGAAGATTGACGTACTGTTTCCCTGAAGAAACTACAGTTTTTTTCTCGTCTGATTCCGTCTTTCAAATCTATAAATCAACCATTCGTCCTTGCATGGAATATTGCTGTCATATATGGACTGATGCTTCCGCTGCACATCTCGAGGAACCCTGACAAAATCCAGAGACGAATATGCAATGTGATGGGTCCTGATCTGGCATCTCGTCTACAGTCGTTTTCTCACAGACGTGCTGTGGCTTCCCTCTGTCTCTTTTCTACAAATATTTTCAAGGCAACTGTTTCGACGAGCTACTTTCGCTGGTTCCCAGACTGCATGAATTTAAGCGAGCTACTAGGCTGGCATCTCGGTCCCACCATTTCACTGTCGAAACGGCTAAATGTGACCGTCTCTTCTACTCAAACAGCTTCTTCTCTCGTACTTCCCGTCTGTGGAACTCCTTTCCCTTTACTTGCTTCCCCGATGACTATAATCTTCAAATATTCAAGTGTAATGTCAATCGACATCTGGCACCCTGAGCATGTTCCCCGTCCTTCTCTGTATCCTTTCCTCAAACACGCCTCTTTTGTCTTGTTCTCGATCTTCTGTAAACCCTTGCCTGCTAGTGGCACTCCCGTCTTGTCTGGGGTGAATTGCTTAAAAAAAACAAACAAAAAACAAAAACAAACAAACAAAAAACAAACAAAAACACTGTTGTAGAGTAGTTTTCACAGTGGAGGCTTGTATTTCACTAAGTCGGTCCTAAAAGAGGTTCGACGTACAAAACGTTAGGAACTTGAAATAATAGTTAATGACGCAGCAATCTAGTTTTGGGGATGATACTTTAATGTCCGACATCGACTGACGCTCCAACTCCACTGAGCTCCCTGGCGACTGCCACTACTACTACTTATCATCTGTGGGAGAGTCTATTAACAATAGAATAGGTATGTTCCGGTATAACAAAAACAAAAGTCACTCAGCTTAGGAGGGAAAGTACTATGATTCATTATTTAAGCGTACACACAAATACTCATTTCATTTTTTCGTTTTTGGACCTGATGAATCCTTGAAAGCCGAAATACATAATCAAATCTATTTAATCTTTCAATTAAATGTTTTCTATGTACAGTGACCATTCAGGACATTGGCGATTATGGCTCTCCACAATTTCCTGTCCTTTGTAACTCTTAATAACTTTTGTTTTTCTAACCATCTCTCCTTAATCCTGCTCCACCATACATCTATTCGCTCAAGGTCGCCAGGTATGTCGTACCTTGCTTTCCTCTAACCCTCATACTTTCAATCTGTTCTCTGAGTGTCAAATTTTCCAAGCCTTCTTTCTTCATTTTGTGTCCCCCCCCCTGCGAAATTTCAACTGTCTCTTTCTGATGTCAAACCCAAGTGTTCTCTCTATCGCCGTTGTTCACATGTTCGGTCCATGGTATTCTTCAGCATTCTTCTGTTGAAACACGTTTCTGTTGCTTCAAGTCTCTTCTTCATCTGTGAGGAGATTGTCCAGCATTCACTTCCATATAGGAGAACTGATATTACATAAGAGTTGTATTCAGTTATTTTCTGGTAAAGGGATTTCGAGAGATGTGTGAAATATCCGGCGAGACACGGAAAACATTGGGGATCTAGATACACGAACAGATTGAACAATCTGTTTAAAGGTGCTGCCCAGTCTTCACTTTTCAGTCACGATAGTCCAAAAGTATCTCCGCGTCCTTGCGGGTGATGAATTATTTTCTACTCTACAGCTCCTTTCCTCACAGACGAAACGTCGCAAGCATCTCACTGATCTATGGCTATTTCCATAGAAAGTGTTCAGATGAAATACGTTCCTTAGTTCCACCAGTACATTCTTTTGTCCCACATCGTGGAAGTGTTATAACAGAGGACGGAAAGAGCGACACTGAAATCCGAAGGCGTATTTGGATAGCCATGGAAGCATTCCAAAAGCTAAGCAGAGTATTAAGAAACAGGAAAATTTCGCTAGAAGCAAGGAAAAGAGTACTAAACTCCTATGTGATACCTGTCTTCTTCTATGACAGTGAGTAGTGGACGATCTCCTCAAAGATGAAAAAGAGACTTGAAGCAACAGAAATGTTGTTCTACTGAGTGAGAGACCAAGAAAACTCCTTGTAACACCAAAGATGAACTGAAGGCAAAGATTATGGCAGCATTCACCAACTTCAAAAAGGAGACAGCCCAAAAGAGTTGCAAGTGATTCCGAAGTAGCGGTTGAAGCCAATGGCGATTTTAGTAAATAAATTTACTCTTTGTTATTTCAAGATATTTTTTGTGTAATATATCTGTTAAAATGAGATGTCAGTGTTATTGTCAGGTTTGCCTAATTTAGACGACAATTTATCCATCGCACCCTGTATAGTGCAAGTTGATGCTTAGCTTGAATTGCCTAAATAAAGAGACTCAGTAATTTTTCGTCGCCATCAGCAGTCAGATTTCTTTAGAATAATGGCGTTATCAACTAGAATTTTTCTAATGGGGACTGATAGTTTTCACCGGACTTATTCGACCGATACAGCGAGGCGATTCTGAGAGATGTCCTCGCAGGATTCATTATTAGCGGCCATAATCTTAACAACAATAACAGACACAGAAAGAGAACGACAAAAACTCCTACAAAAGGTAGTGTCGGAAAGCGTGAAGAAAGGACTAAACATCAACTGCAAGAAGACAGAATGCAAAAGGATGAGCCCAATGTGCAAACTACAAATCTGAGGTACCAAATTCAAAGAAGAGCAGAAATTTAAATATCTAGGAAATGTTTTAACAGGGGACGGATAGAGTGACACTGAAATCCGAAGGCGTATTCGGACTGCCATGGAAGCATTCCAAAAGCTAAGCAGAGTATTAAGAAACAGGAAAATTTCGCTAGAAACAAGGAAAAGAGTACTAAACTCCTATGTGATACCTGTCCTCTTCTATGACAGTGAGTACTGGACGATTTCCTCAAAGATGAAGAAGAGACTTGAAGCAACAGGAATGTTGTTCTACTGAGCGAGAGACAAACAAAACTCCTTTTAACATCAAAGATGAACTGAAGGCAAGGATTATGTCAGCATTCACCAACTTCAAAAAGGAGACCGTCCAGAAGAGTTGCAGGAGATTCCTAAGTAAAGTGTGGAGTGCCTAGTATAATAGTACTCACCACACAGTTAATCATCTACTCAGTCAAAAAGCTAAATGAGCCCAAAGTGCGAACTGTAAATCGGAGGTACCAAAATCAGACAATATAATTAAATATCTAGGAAATGTTTTAACAGAGGACGGAAAGAGCGACACTGAAATCCGAAGGCGTATTGGGATAGCCAAAGATGCCTTCCAAAAGCTAAGCAGAGTATTTAGAAACAGGAAAATTTCGCTAGACGCAAAGAAAAGACTACTAAACTGCTATGTGAGATTCTTTATTTTTTTCAATGGTTGGAATTAACCTTCCTTTTTCCAGACACAGTGTGATTGGCGTAGATATATATATATATATATATATATATATATATATATATATATATATATAAAAAAGATTTAAATATATTTTTCAACTTACCGTGGACCGAACACGTGAGTAACGACGAAGTTTTGGAGAAAATGGAAACAAAAAGGAAACTAATGCTCATCAGGACAGTTGAAGTTTCTAGGACACATAATGAGGAAGGAAGGCTTGGGAAATTTAATACTCACAGGACAGATAGAAGGCAAGTGGAACAGAGGAAAACAACGCATGACATACTTGACGAACTTGGGTGGGCAGAACCGGGCTTAGGAGAAATAACAGAAAGATAAAGTTTATTGTAGGGAACTACCGTCATTTCCTTTGTATTCCATTGACGAGATGTAAGTTCCACTCAAGCAGCTTCTTTCCACGAACCGCGACATTGTAGAAATGACTCCCAAGAGGATGCTTCCCAGATCACTGTAATCTTAACCTGTTCAAGTCTTGGCTTAACCGTTATCTTCCCTACATATCCGTATAAACCGTGCCTCTTGCTCTGTGACCCTCTACCTCGAGTGGCTCTCGGGCCCTGTATTGAAAGAATGCCACTGTAAAACAAAAATACGAACATACGATATCATTCTCTTGTATATTCCGTATTTCTTGTGTGTTAAGATCCAGTTTTTCCCCTGAGAAATGCCATCAAAATTAGTCATCGTCTTAGCATTGAGGGGTCAAGTTGTAGGGAGGAGTTTGTTCTCCCCACCCCCACCCCGCAAACCCAAGTTCCAAACTTCAATCAAGAACCACGGACATATAATACAATTGTCTTTCATATATAATAAATACCGTATACAGTGAGTACCCCGTATCCGCGGGGGTTCGGGGCCCCAGAACCGACCGCGGATATTTAGAATCCGCGAATACTTATAACCTCCCCGACCAAAAAAAGGTGCTTATAAGTACCTATTTTAATTGTTAAAACCCCATATGTCTTGAAATTTCATCCTAAACACTTTAGAAACATTTCAGACCCTTTTAAAAACATTTTTGAAAAATAACATTGGTGACCATACACTTAGCGTAAATTTTCTTTCCTACGTACAACAACCATTTTTGATTACGCATAGATCGATACAACCATTGAAAATACTGTATAAAATATAAAGTTGAAAACATTTTCTAAAAACAGAACTGTGATGATGTCCCCCAGACTTAGCATAAGCCACTTTTAAGACCCCAGCCGCAGCCCGTAATCTTCCAAGTCTACCTCTCTCTCACATATTCATACTATATCTCTCTTGTACATTTGCTTCAATATGCAGCCTTCTTCCTCTTTTTTTATTCCTTTCTTTCTCTCTTTCTCTCTCCTATATCTCTTTCTCTTCTTTCTTGACTTTTCCCTCTCTTTTCTGTTTCCCCCTTTCACCCTCTCTCTCTCTCCCTTTTATTTTCTGTATCCCTCTATCTATTATCCTTCTTTCTCTTTCCTATTTTACAATACCACCCATACTCAGCTTCTTCTCTTACTCTTCTCTCTTTTTATCTCTCTCTCTCTCCTAACTCTCTTTCTCTCCTTCTTTCTTGCGTTTGTTTTTTACGATGTACAATTCTGGCAATTTTCACCATAAAAATGGACTGTTATATGTTTTAAGTCACTTAACTAACAGGAATATAATTGATGTAATGAATATGCATACACCTGGCTTCCCCTCACAGTAATATGATTGGCTGGTGTCATCCATAAATACAGACTGATGTGGACGCCTATTGTATTCGCCTATTGCCTACCATTACGACGAGGACCAGTCCATTACGGCTACCTCCTAGATTGTCCTACCCGGTTACGGTAGCACAAAACCACTTTGCTACTGCGAACAAAGATATCCCTTTCCGGGTCATATCAATAATACAAGAATATTTGAAATATGTTTTATCAAAAAAAAAAAAAAAAAAAAAAAAATACGCGAATCGAGGGAGTTTCTCAGCGAATAATTTGTGCATATGTTCTTTAGAAAAACACGCGGATAATTGGGGTTTCCGCGAATAACAAGTACACATGTTCCGAAGAAAAATCCGCGTATGTGTGAAGCCGTGAATGTTGAAACGCGAATAGGCGGGGGCTCAATGTATCTAGTATTATTTTTTTTTTTTTCGAGTATTAATAGTAAATAGTAAATGTAAATACACCGTATATTGAATTCGAGTAGTTACTGATATAATAAACTATTAGAAAATTAATTAATAGTAATGGCTGTCCGATCGTAACTGAGTATTTCTGTCTGCTAGGGCGACTAGACAATCCCTATTGCAGACGTCTGCTCAGGCACATTTTGTGCTTTTTCAACACCCACAGAGCCCATCTCTGGTTTATACTGCAACTATGCTGAGCGGATCTTAGTTGCAGTTTCTGAGAGAGAGAGAGAGAGAGAGAGAGGGGGAGAGAGAGGGAGAGAGAGAGAGGGGAGAGAGGGAGAGAAATAGAGAGAGTTATCCGGAGCGATCAACGGCCTGAAAAAAAGGCCAGTACGCTCTAACCCTCGGTCACGATGACTTGCGACTTCGTGCTAACTCAAACATCGGCGTCTCCCAAATAGTTCCAATTTCACTCACAGGGCTTGGCACTTTCCAAAAGTGCTGCACGCTGGGATCGCTCCCCCACTCCAGACCGATCACATCAGGAAGTCTGACAAATCGACCACAGTGAGATTCGAACCTGGGTCTCACGGAAAGCGAACTTTCTAACTACTCGGCCATGTGCGTATCTAATTATTAATAACCACATATATTTAATAACATTTGATAATTTGTTATGACTGAAAGAAAAATGGGACAGTAGAGTTGGCGACTTAGACTTGCTAGTACGGTAAGCCATAAAATCCTGAAATCCCCCAAATACCTAGCTCATTATAGGGTGTGTCTCACCATTTGTAGCGTTAGCAAGTGATGTTACGGAAAATACGGTATATATATATATATATATATATATATATATATATATATATATATATATAGAAAATAGGAAAGAACATGTTAGGTAAATAATCCGGAGTTGGTTGACCCCGCATATAACTAGTATTTGGTAAACTTGGACCTTCGCACGCGCAAAAATATGATTTTCCCTTGACACCGCTATTATTTTAACAACCTTCACTCCTCGATAAAGTTTGTTGTTTTAAAAAGCGATAACAAATTTTCGCTTTAAATAATTAGCATAAAAAATTAAATTTCATAGTCCAATAAAAGGTTTAAAAGCTTAACCCAATCACAAGATAGAAAACCCTTTATGAAGTCGTCAAAAAACAAAAAACAAAACAAAACAAATTGTAGTTCAGTACAACGCGTTTAAGAAACAACTCTTTAGGAAAAAAAAATAAATAAAAGGATAAATAAATAAATAAAATAAAACAAAACTTTCTTAACGACATATTATGGTGCCAAAAGTAATCTTTCGCTGTGACTGACCAGACGATGTACGCACATGAATGCCATCATTCGCTTTGAAATGGATACCACCACCCTACCTCGGCTTGACCTCTTTCCGAAGGTGACTGATACGTGGATAAAAATTATCACTTGGGCTCTTTACCAAAATGGTCGCCCCAGCCGTTTCCATAGTAATTAATTTTGCGAATTAACATGCTTATAAAGATGCGTAAATTTCAAGATTGGTTATTCCTAAATTTTCGATTGAGGATGAAACAGGGCTTGATACTTTAAATCAATTTAAGAATCATGGAAGATTGTAGTTTAAAGACGGTAAAATCGACCGTGCTAACCGAATGCTCCTCTGTGGGCAAATCAGTTAAAGGCACGTCAGGCTATATGACGGTTCCGTATAGGATACAGGTTTGATTCCTGTCGGAGAGCGAATATTTTCTATGAAAATTTCTCGGACATTCAGGCCGGTAAATATTGTTTAATACTGTTTATTATAAACAGCGCATTTACTTAAATATGTGTTGCGATAAAAAGAATGTATAAACATAAAAAATGTCTTAAAATAATTGTCGGACTTAGTAATTTTCATATATATATATATATATATATATATATATATATATATATATATATATATATATATATATATATATATATATATAAAATCCAAAATCACCTCATTATTTACACCGACAAAATTCGTCAGTCTTATATATACCGGAGTTTAATAATTGTGTACTAATTATTTGCTCTGTAATAACAAATGTAGGCACGATGGAGAAATGGATCTGATTGAGGAATCGGAGAGCCGAGTTCGAATTCCAGTCGAATCATGCAACGCGCTAATACCTTAGGGAAAGGTATGAATCCTTTAATTCTCCCCCCACCCCAGCTATGGGAAAATAGCAGGACAGACCGGGTTCTATAGCCTTGGATGGTAACTGGTCTACCACAGAAAGAAATAGCAACCTACTGCGGGAAAAAAGATACATAATTGCAAAAGCGTGTATCACGCATGGCACATAACTGAATAATAAATACATTGAGCTTCTTTTTGTGGAACAGTTTTAATATTTTATATTACTAGGATCCACTTGGATTATATACCAAGGATTTGTTACATTTACTATATATATATATATATATATATATATATATATATATATATATATATAATTATCTATTTAAAAATATGATTATGGAATCATATTTTAAATAAATAACTATATTTATGCTCTACTTTTGTATCGAGCACTATTTTAAAAAAATAATAACAAAAAATACTTTGGATTATTTACCTAACGAGTTCTTTCCTATTTTCTATATATTTTGCACACACACACACACACACACACACACACACACACACACACACACACACACACACACACACACATATATATATTTATATATGTATATATATAAAAGTGAACATTAAAGTCAACACTAAGAGGCGACAGGCTGTTTGATGCCTGACGATTGCGTCTAGCATGAAACAGCCTGTCGCCTCTAAGTGTTGACTTCAATGTTCACTTTTATATTTACACACACTTTATCTCTGATATTGAACACTGTATCCCATAAATATAGCACACCTTAATAGTATGTTTATATATATATATATATATATATATATATATATATATATATATATATATATATATATATATATAAAAAAACATATATTTTGTTTGGTTACCCATTAACAGTGTTGTTTCTTGCTTTCGTCTTGGTCGAACGAGAGCCTTAATTTTTAAAACACGAAATGATAGTTTGGCGAACCGGAAGAAAGATGGCGCGTGGAATTGCAAGCTCAGCTTAGAGTGGTTAATTCTTTCTCACTTTCGATATATCGTCTGCTCTGTTCAAATAAACATCTTTACTTTTTCTTTCCCATGTCAATCGTCAGTTCGTCTCCCATTAATCAGAAGCCACGGCAGGAAAACAGTCGCCGTATTATATTTCCATTCCACATTTATTTTTTTATTCTAACGAATCCACAAATAAGTAAATGCATATAGCGTTTTGTGAGGATCGAACTCGCCATGCAATTGTGTTTGTCTACAGGACAAGCACGCTGACCATTTATCCAGAGCAAGGCGCCGACGAATTGATTGATATTGGTTGCACTTTGGACAATCGACGGTCTTAGGCACACATCAGGATATTCTGGAAAAGAATGGAGGATAAAGGAAAAAAAAGAAAAGAAAAAAAGTGTGGTGCCAGCAGGATTTGAAGAAAAAAAATGCAGAAATATTTGAGTAACGGTATTTGCTTTGAACCTTTGGCAAAAGCGATATATATATTTCGTTTCTCCAGTGTATTACTATTGGAGCTGGTCAGGTTAAATTTTTTAACTTGCGCTTCGTTTGTTACCAATATATATATATATATATATATATATATATATATATATATATATATATGTATGTATGTATGTATGTATGTATGTGTGTGTGTGTGTGTGTGTGTGTGTAAAAATTCATATATAAACAAAAATATATCTGTAAAACGATAGTATGAATAAAGACAGAAGACACGCACACAAACTACACGCATATATATATATATATATATATATATATATATATATATATATATATGCGTGTGTTTGTGTGTGTGTACACACACATACGTATATTTAAAAAATTTTAACTTTCGCTTGTTGCAATATATATATACATGTGTGTTCGTGTATATATATATATATATAATTATTTATTTAAAAATATGATTCCAATATATATATACATATAAACACGGGCACACACATGTATATAAATAAAAGATATATCTGTCAAAAAAAAGTATGAATAAAGACAAACGGAAACTTAGTTTTCGTTTTATCTTTATTCATGAATATATCTTTGTATATGCACACACACACACACACACACACACACACACACACACACATATATATATATATGCACATATACAAATATATATACATGTAAAAATTCACATATAAATAAAATATATCTCTAAAAAGATGGTATAAATAGAGATTATATATATATATATATATATATATATATGCACATACTCACATTCAGGTATATGTGTATATATAAAAGTTCACTTTTATTGCCGATCAGTTCATTTTTCGTGCTAGTCAGTTGTTTCTTCTTGTGGATTAATCAACTTTTCTTGCTGATTTTTTCTCCGGCCATTTTCCTATTTTGTTGGCCAGTTCATTTTTCTTGCTTATCAGTTATCTTTTCTTACTGAACTGTTCATTTTTCTTACCGATAGCTTCTCTTTTTCTGTTGATTAAACTTCTTTTCTTACTGATCAATTAATTTTTCTTGCTTATCAGTTCATTTTTTTTACTGGCCAGTTCACTGTTCTCACTAAACAGTTCATTTTTCTTTGTAGTCAATTGTCTTTCCTTATTGATCAGTTCATTTTTCTTGCTGATCAGTTCTCTTTTCTCGTTGATTAGTTCATTTTTGTTGCTGGCCAATTCATCTTTTCTTGGTGAGCAGTTCACTTTTCTTGGTGAGCAGTTCACTTTTTTTGGTGAGCAGTTCACTTTTCCTACTGATCATTTCATTTTTCTTATTGATCATTTCCTTTTTTTCCCTGCTGGTCAATTTCTCTTTTAATCAAGCTCGCTAAGTAGGTCACGCTTTTTCATTTTCCTCTATCCACTCTTGCCTTCAAAATGTCATGCGAGTGTTAATTTTTCCAAGCCTTCTTTCATCGTTATGTTCCCTAGAAATTTCAATTGTCGCTTCTGTTTCCATTTTCTGTGACGTTTCAATAATTGATTTTAATTTTAATTTTTGTTTTTTTTAGAATTAATACCGAGTTTTAGGTTGGGCAATAATGAGAAAATTGTGCGAAAATTAAAAGCTGTCAAAAATACTCTAAATATTACATACCTTTCTGAGTCACATAAAGAGGAAATAGGGAGTGTTTGGGGAATTTGACACTCACAAGGCATAAAGAAGGCAAGAAGAGTAGAGAGAAAGAGGAACCTACCTAACGAGTTTGTACAAATGAATGACAGGGAGGAACAGCAAAAAGTGGTCTTTTGATTGAGTCATTCATTTTTTACGGTTTATCAACCCTTTGCAGGTTATTTAAAGCCGGAAAATACTTTTAGATTATAAGAATTTTTTGAGATAATAATGATTTACTTATACAGGCCCTATTATTTATTTATACAGGTCCTATTATTTACTTATACAGGCCCTATTATTTAATCGATAGCTGGGAAGAGAAGAGGTGAATTTAGACCTTTCCCAAGGGTATTTGCCAGTAAGTGACTTTAACTAACCCAACTAGAATTAGAACTTGGTAGTCCGATTTCCCATTACGCCAACCGCACATCCACGTTTACACCACCTGGTATTTCCACCCGGCCGCCAGTTTAGGTACTGACAAGGCTCGACGTAGCTTAACCTCAGTGATCATACCAGAACAATTGTAGAACTAATTAACCCATAGCTTGGGGAGAAAAAGTGGATTCGTACCAAATCAGAATTTAATGAACAAACAAGAAATTAAAATATGGATATAAAGTGGGGATCAATTCCATATTAAAGTCAATATATAAACTGATCCCTCACTTTGTGGCCACAGTAGTTTCTACAGATTTATATTCCAGAGAAGTTAAATGAACCTAAAAGACATTCCTGTGTAGCTAATTTGATTGATTCGTTTTTTATGGGTTATCAACCATTTGCAGGTTATTTAAAGCCAGAAAATATTTTTAGATTATAAGAATTTTTTTGTGGGAAGTAATAATGAGTCAGGGATACACAGCTTATTAATTAACCCATAGCTGGCGAGAAGAGATGGACTCTGAAGGTATTTGCGCGTAAGTGAATATAACGAATCCAATTGGAATTTGAACTCGGCTCTCCTATTAACAATTCCGAGCCATTATCCAATATATCACCCACATATCAAAGCTTACAGCAACTGGTATTCCCAACAGTTCACCCATCTGGGCACCGATCAGGGACGACGTTGTCTAACTTCGGGTGACCGTACGGGAACCGGTAGTCTCAACATGATATGGCCGTAAGCTCCACACTTGTTTTTTGAACAGGAGTAGAGGTTTATAACCTCTTTATTCATATCTATCTATCTATCTATCTATCTATCTATCTATCTATAGAAAAGTCCAGAGCAGATAACATTAGAAAGATTTTAGAGTTCCATGAAAATAAGTGGATACAACGTTTAAAAACGCACTATTCAGACGGGCTTAATCACAAATTTAATAATATAGATAGTATTAATAATTACTATATAACCCTACAAATCAAAACCCACCCACATTTCTCACCCACACAAGACAGACATGCTTACGGAGGTTTTGAGCCCTCACATTTATACACACACCCACACGAATATACACGCTTACACACATCATACTCACTCACTCCCTAAGAACCAAATAACACATACACACACTTAACAGAGACACATCCCCTTTCCAGGAACCAATAAAACTGTCAAAATGACCAAGGGAATTCAGAGTAGCATGAATCAATCCAGCTCTTAAATAACAACTTAAAAGAGACTGTTTGACCAACACAAAGACTGACCAAAATTCATGTTAAAAAAAATAAAAAAAACAAATGAAAACTACAGACAAAAGTTTATTTTCTCCATCAAGACATTCATTTCTGTAGTTCACTGCTACCAGAAAGCAGAAAATTATTTTTCTCCTGGTGATGGCCATGTTGGCCAAAACTATTCGAGGAATCTAAATGAAATTAAAAAAAAAAAAACGAAAAAAACCCAGTGTGTCTGAAGATTTTAATTTTTTAATATTTTTTATTGTTCAATTTATATATATATATATATATATATATATATATATATATATATATATATAGTCTTAAGATGTGGTATATTTATGGGATAAAGTGCTCAATATCAGAGATAGAGCGTGTGTAAATATAAAAGTGAACATAAAGTCAACATTTAGGGCGACAGTCTGTTTCATGCTAGATGCAATCGTCAGGAAACGACGTCGCCTCTGACGATGTGCATCTATATATATATATATATATATATATATATATATATATATATATATATATATTCTAAAATACATACTTTCTTATACTCTTAGCAATTCCCGACCAGGAGTCGGTGTTCGTGCATTTGCTGAGACAGACGCCATTTTTTCGAATTTGTAAGATCAACAGAACTTTCTAACACCCGGCCCTGCACTAAAAATATCTCTTCTTGTACACAATATTTGTACAGTGGCAAAAAGTGATTTCTCAAGTGATACGAATATACGAGGGGATACTGAAAAGTTATCAACCTGACCAAGAAGGCATTTAAAAATATATTTTGATGTTTTTGTCATTTGTGGCGGTTTTGGAAAGTGGCTCGAGTATTCGTCTCTTTGGAATCACCCTCGTTATATTTCGTCATGCGTTGGACACAAAAATAACGAAGTTAAAATAATCTCTTTAATAAGATTTATTCTCTTATTTTGTAACCACCTTCACACGTACGTCTGTCACAAAATATTAACGCAGTGTCCATCTTGTTTTTTTTGTTCATTTCCGCTAATTTTCTTCCCATCATTCTCTGTGAGAATGTGTGTGTGTATTTTTTTCTTAACTCCAAGACCATCATTATTACACGCATGGTCTCTTGTCTCGTAAAAAAAGCAAAAAAAAAAAAAAAATGACTTAAAAATGTTAAAAAACAATGTAAATAAAACTAAGAAAAAAAAAAAAAAAATACAAAACCCCCCAGAAAATTTACAGAATATCATTCCGAATAAAAAAAAACAAAAAATATTTTTCTAAATGTCGTCTGATTTATATATTTACCGCTAATATTTTTCTTACAATTGTATTGTTTTATTTTAGCTTATTCATTTATTTCCCCCTTTTTTAAGGGCGAGAAAAAAACAAAGCAAAAAAAAAAAAAAAAAACAACTAAAAAACAAAACATTTTGCTCTCTCTCCCGGGGCTTCCATTATCACTATTTTTTGGAGATGCGTTCATTAATAATTTCTTGCTGTCGTTACAAAACGGGTCTTTTATATATTTATATATATATATATATATATATATATATATATATATATATATATATTTATTTATTTCTCTTTTCTTTTGACTTGATTTGTCTAAGTTCGAGCAAGAAACTATGTATGAATTTGTACACATGCAGTCAAATAGTTGTACGCGTCCATCATTAAGTGTGTTAACGCGCTAACGAGTGTCCATTTTGCCGGTGGGGGGGGGGTGGAAAACAATGTGAACGAATAAACGTTTATGGTTGCATTTTGAAACGTGTGTGTATAAGGAGAGGACAAAGGTTATTGTGTGAGTCATTAGACGCATTTCTATAGACGTGTGTGTATGCGTGTGTGTGCGCGGGCGTGTGCGCGTGTGTGTGGGAGTGTGTGTGTGTGCGGGCGCGTAGATGGGGATGCTGAAAAGTTCTCGGTCTGACTAAGAAGAAATGCAAAAGAAATTCTCATGTTTTGTCCTTTGATAAATTTTCAGTTCTATCTATCTATCTATCTATCTATCTATCTATCTCAGCATGTTCATATCTATCTATCTATCTATCTATCTCAGCATGTTCATATCTATCTATCTCAGCGTGTTCATATCTATCTATCTATCTATCTATCTATCTATCTATCTATCTCAGCGTGTTCATATCTATCTATCTATCTATCTATCTATCTATCTAAATGTGTTCATTATCTATCTATCTATCTATCTATCTATCTATCTATCTATCTATCTCAGCGTGTTCATATCTATCTATCTATCTATCTATCTATCTATCTATCTATCTATCTATCTATCTATCTATGTATTTTTGCTTGTGTCTGCAAGTTTACGTATATGAGATGTACTGAAAAATTCTGTGTGAGACTCTCATCTCAAAATTTGACCAAATAACCCAGCCTTTGGTGACATATTTTTGAATGGCTTCGGAGTTTGAGCCGAGATCATTTTCAATCCCCTTTCGTTTGTATTTCCTTTAGGAAGAAATATGTCAAGTTGAAAATGTTATAGTGAATGCCATTGAGCGGGATGTTCTCTAGTGATCTTCATTAAATCATTGTTTTGTTTTTGTTTTTCTGTTGTAGAATGTAATTTAATCGATGTCGTGTATCGTTCACACAGTTCTTGGGTTTCTGTAGGCCAGAAACGCATATCAATGTAACACATTTGACTTTTATTAAAGTTTCCTCAGAGATTGCGAGAAAACAAACAAAAAGACAGAAAACACTGATGTTTAATTTTTGAGTCGATTGAAAATACCAAAGTTCTGTCTTTTTGTTGGTTTCCGCTCAATCGCTGACGGAGTTTTAATAAACGTTCCCTATCTTTCTTCTTTTACATATATATATATATATATATATATATATATATATATATATATCCATATTGATGCAAGTTAATAAAACCATTAAAACAGTTAAATTAATTCCTTTAAATAATATGTGGAAATAACCCATCTACCACTGATCAATGTCACAAGACCCGAAACCCGTGTAGCAAAAAAAAAAAAAAATTGAAAATAAAGTATAATATAGAAAAAAATTCACATTATAATCAAAATATGGTTGCAGCACAATCTTCAGGTAGCCAGTAATATTTACCAACCTCCCCATGAGGCAGGGTGTGGCACATGGCCGAATTTAATGTGGGGCAATCCGAGCCCGTAGGTTCGGCCAAAAATTTCCCTTGACCCCGCATAAACGGTGTCGAGTCTGTCTACCTCCCCGGACGAGACTCTGCCCTTCGGCATAGGCTCGTCCGGTTTCCTCTCTGCCCGAAGGCAAAGAGTTCGACAACAGCTAAGAGCTTAGTACGCGGCCAGCTTCTTTTTCTTTTGAAGACATACGCTTTTTCTCGTTGGAACAACTATAATCTCTCCCTTAAATCCAGGAAAGAATGAGCAGCTCTGAAAGAGTTTGCCCAAAAGTAGCCTACTGGTATTAAAGTGCTCAATGCTATAAGAAATGGCAGAGATTCAATATTAATTTAAAAACCATTTTAGCCATTTTAGATTTTGGCTGGGTCATTTACCCTTCCCCCGTGCGAGTTTGGTTTGCCTGTCAAATTGAACTCACCCGTTGGTATATAGGGTACTCACCTTACTACTACAGCCACTGGCTTCCTGAAGATCATGTAGTTAGGCATCTGGAGCTGGCCGCGTGCTCAGCTTTTAGCTGTTGTCGAACTCTTTGTTTTCGGGCAGAGAGGAACCCGGACGAGCCTACGCCGAAGGGCAGAGACTCGTCCGGTGAGGTAGACAGACCCGAACCCATTTATGCGGGGTCACTGGGGAATTTTTGGCCGAGCCTACGGGCTCGGATTACCCCACATTAAATTTGGCCATGTGACACATCCTGTCTCGTGGGGAGGTCGGTAAATATTACTGGCTACCTGAAGATTGTGCTCAAACACATGTAACTTATATTAATGGCTAATCACTGCCAACCTATTTTCTGAATTATATATATATATATATATATATATATATATATATATATATATATATTATAAATTAATTGATTTTAAAATATGGTTATTTTCGCCATGCAGTTCAACTATGTTTCAAAAATAGAAGCTAAAACCCCTAATTTAATTTTGCAATTAAATTAAAAGCATTAGTTCCATTTCATCTTCAAGCGAATTTTGGAGTAACTTTATAAAAATTATATATATGAGAGAGAGAGAGAGAGAGAGAGAGAGAGAGAGAGAGAGAGAGAAAGAGAAAGAGAAAGAGAGAGAGAGATTGAACATATCTCGGATATCAAAATAGTGAGAACCCTTCTATAAATATAGCAATTTTTCAACTATATATACTTTCACTTGAGCATGTCTACACATGTTGAATAACATTGCAAAGAGTGCAATTTCAATTGTGCGTTACATTTTCAGGGGAAGTAACTGCTCATAAAATCTGTGCCAATAAAAAAAACCGCTCCAGATCACCTGCATAGTTACACTGTAATAATCCTTTCAATGTTCATTTATTTTGCTGGATTCTTTCTTTTCTTTTCTCTTTCTTTCTTTCTTTTCAAGTTTTGACTTCGTCTTCGTTTCTTTTGATTTAGTTTCTTCGTTTTCCGTGACGTTTTTCATTCTTTTTAACATAGTCTCGAACTTTCTTTCTTTCTTTTCTAGTTTTAATTTCTTCTTCTTTCTTTTAAGTGAAGAAGAAGGAAAAAAGAAAGAAATATTTCATTAAACTTTTTTTTCTTTCTTTTTTCTTTCCTTCTTCTTTCTTTCTTTCCTTCTTTCTTCATTTCTTTCTTTCTTTTGATCTTGTTTTTTTCTTCTTTGTTAACATATTTCTATTTGCTAATTATTTCTTTTTTATTTTTAACGTGGTCTTGTCATTTTTCGTTCTTTTTTTAGTTTTAACTTCTTCGTCTTTCATTTAATTAAGAAGAAAGAAAAAGAAAGAAATATTTCATGAAATCTTTCTTTCTTTCTTTCTTTCTAATATTATTTCGTGATTCATTGCCATTATGCTGTAAGATTCATCAACCATTATTTCCTGCCACTTTACACCTTCGTTAACTGGTCGGTCTGTTGCTTCTTTTCCCCAACCTCACTCTCATGAAAATATATTCCTTATTTTTTCTTTCATTTTTATCGATTACTCACTTTTTCATTTTGTTCTTCGTTTATTTGAAAATGTTTTCCTTCATTCCTTTTACTTAATCATGATATTTTCTGTGATCCTTTTTTGAAAACTTATTTCATTTCTTTCCTTCTTTCTTTCTTTCTTTCTTTCTTTCTTTCTTTCTTTCTTTCCAAAACGTTTCTTTCTTTTTTTCTTTGTTTGTTCATTCTTTCTTTCTTTCTTTCTTTCTTTCTTTCTTTCTTTCTTTCTTTCTTTCATGTTTTCCTTCATTCCTTTTACTTAATCATGATATTTTCTGTGATCCTTTTTTGAAAACTTATTTCATTTCTTTCTTTCTTTCTTTCTTTCTTTCTTTCTTTCTTTCTTTCTTTCTTTCTTTCCAAAACGTTTCTTTCTTTTTTTCTTTGTTTGTTTATTTGTCTGTTCATTCTTTCTTTCTTTCTTTCTTTCTTTCTTTCTTTCTTTCTTTCCAAAACGTTTCTTTCTTTCTTTCTTTCTTTCTTTCTTTCTTTTCTTTCTTTCTTTCTTTCTTTCCAAAACATTTCTTTTCTTTCTTTCTTTCTTTCTTTCTTTCTTTCTTTCTTTCTTTCTTTGTTTGTTTGTTTCTGTTATTTTTTTATTTATTTATCTTTATTTCTGTTCATAAGTTAATTTATTAATTTTTCCCCGTTTTTTTTTTTGGTTTGTCTAAAATATTTTACATTATCTATTTTCATTTTCCAAGCTGATATTTTACAAGGTGTTAGTATTTAGTTTGAAGTAACGTAGTAAACATTTATTTTTTATGCTTGCATTTTGAGAGACGTTCTGATCGTTTATTTAGTGATTTGCGTTGGTCTGGGAAGATGATCATAGCATATTTAAAAAATATATTTTCATCATCATCATTATATATATATATATATATATATATATATATATATATATATATATATATATATTATTTTATTTATTTTAGGATATTACAACAAAAACATGTTAAAAATCACTACAATATTACAATCATGTTTCTGCACAACAAATGTGTCTCCTTTCGCTCACCAGTGGTTTGACATCGCCCGAGGAGACACATTTGTGGTGCTGAAACATGATTGTAATCGTGTAGCGATTTTTAACATGTTTTTTTTTTAATATCTTAAAATAAATAAATAATATTTGGCTCTACTCTATATTGTGCCCTCTTTTAATTTAATTGTTACGTACAGTGGAATTAGGCTCTATTTACTCTCATTTTACCTATATATATATATATATATATATATATATATATATATATATACGAACCTAAAGAGCCAGATCGTACGCGGATCGTATATAGGATCTATCCCAAATAGTTTTAAAGCCCGATATTATAACCATCTTAGTAGTTTTAATAACGAAAGATACAAACATAACACCACGTTATCCACTTACGTATGGAAAATTAAAAATGACTATAAAAAATACGCCATTTTGAAATGGGAAATATTAAAGAAATGCCATAAGTATAAAGCAGGTTATAAATTTTGTCCTCTATCTATAGAGGAAAAGTTATCCATCGCTTTGTATAAAGAATCCAACAATTTGCTAAATCTTAAATCTCAAATCTTGAGTAAGTGTAGACATAGGAAGCGCTGATTACTAGAATAGGTTTGGTTTACTTCTTTTTTTTTGTTATTGAATAAATATGTACAGTGTAAAGCGGATATAAGAGAGTTGTCAGGACCGGAGAAGAAGTCTCTTATATCCGGGTTTGCTCTATTTTGTTTAGGTAAGTATGGGAACACTTTTGGACCAGAGAAAATCTCTCTTATATCCGGGTTTCTCTTATATCCGGTTCTCTTATATCCGGGTTACACTGTATTTACACCTCCCATTGTTGTGTTACTGTTTATTTTATTATTTTATTTTTTTTTTTGGTCACGTGGTCATTTTTTTATGCTGTTGGCTATTTATATTCTTTTCTAATGTTACCTTTTTGGCCGGCGTACCCTGACGATCCGCGTAGGTGAAACCTAGGTAGGTTTGCCTGGCTCTTTAGGTTCGCAGTTAGATTTGCCCTACTTAGTGTATTGAGCACTTTGCTTAATTATTTTTACTTTAATCGTGTCGGAGGTGTTTTTTCTTTGGACTCTGAGCTTGGATTCTGGTCGATTGTTTTAGCCTGAATTACATGTTCTTAGTTCTTTTTTTTAATTCCTATTTTTTCCTTAGGTTTTTTTGAAAGCATAAATGAACAAACCAATACCCATTGGTTTGTTCATTTACAAGCCAAAAACCTAAGGTTTTTTCCGGTCAAATATACTTACTTATATTTATATTATATATATATATATATATATATATATATATATATATATATATATATATATATATATGTATATATATATATATATATATATATATAAGTTTGTGTGTGTGTATTTCGTTAAAGACGACTGACAAGGTACTGCGATTAAGCTTTTTATTTAATTTTTCTTCTGTTCATGCAAGTTTTTTTTTTATTTTCTGGACACATAATGTGGAAGAACAATCGAAATGTTCTGCATATACGACCGCTTTCGGCTATTCTTCTAGCCATAATCGAGGGCGATTTTTAATCTTTTAATTAAATGTGTGGACTTTTTCATGTATATGTCTAAAGTTATAGGAATAGTTTATTCTCCGAACACGGTCAGCACATTGTGGCCTTGTTCATAGTTAATGTTATTCAGTGTTCCTACTTAATGTTATTGAGTGTTGCCTTTTCTTTTTTTTTTTTTTTTGCTATTAGGGCTTCCATTATTTTAAATCGTTTTTGCACGTGGGTGAAGCTATTGTATTTTCTACTAGTATGTTTTCGGATCGAGTTTGGTAGGTTCCCTTGAGTGTGCTTCAATATATAATTGCCCTGTTAGTAATAAACAAGGTTAAGATGGCTCATGTATTTATATGCCGACAGGAGCGGGTGTTAAGGTTGTATAACGTGTCTATAAGCATCTGGTTTCTCTTTCAATTTATCAATAAAAAATGTGTTGATATGGGGTTAACTGATATATGAGAGGGTTGCTGAAATGTTATCGGCCCGCAAAAGAAGCACGTATAATAGGACCTTTACAGTTCGGACTTAGCACACCTTTTGTTCAGGTGAAAATAATATCAACCAACAGTGATTTTTTGCATTCAAATAAATACGAACACAATGACTTTGGCAAAATGTGGTTATTTTCAGTCTCTGTCTGTCTATCTATCTATCTATCTATCTATCTATCTATCTATCTATCTATCTATCTATCTATCTAATCTGGCTTCAAGACAAGACCAGAACTGAGTCTGAGATTTATTTTAACATACTGAGTCAGGTTGTGACACAAGGTCTTTTTTTAATGTGGTGACCCGAGTGATTCCACCCGGGCTGCTTATCTAACCTCGTCAAAGCTTGTCTAAGCTGGTCTTAGCTGGTCATAGCTTGTCTAGGCTAATCATCGCCGGTTATACCACGCAACAGTGGAGGGGATGCAGGAGAAGAGAGACGGCCCCCAGAACGGGACACCTACTACAACCGCAGCATCTACCCCGACGGGGAAAAAAACCCTCTCCTCCTCTGTCAATCCCCCCGGAAGAAGAGCCCCAGGCCGAAACTGAGTCAGATGAGACCGGAAGTGGCCTATCTTATTGGTTAAGTTAAAATGCTAGCATGCATTTGTGTGGTTTTATCAATAAATTGGGAAGTATTTTTCAGTAATGGACGGTTCCTATTAACATCTGTTTTGTTTTAGTTTGTTTTTGTTAGTTTTGTTATTGGGTTCGTTCCCTCCCCAAATATTTTCATTAGTATATAGATTTTTATATATTTCTGTAAAAAAAAAAAAAAGTGAAAAAAGAAAACAAAAAAAGACATTTGAACTTTTATGAATTTTTATGTCACGGGGTGTTTTGTAAGTCCCCTGTGAATATGTGGTATTGTGGTATATGTAGGATTGAGAGGTAATGAATAAGTTCTTGTGGTGATTGAGTATATTGTAACGAATGAATGGGTCGTGATTTTGATTAACTAGGACTGATGACCATCCTTTTCACTCTTTTCTTCGGCCTTGTGCTATTATTTCTGTATAAAACTAGCAATAAATACACACTCCTTACTGGAATAGAGTGGACAGTTCCTACTAACATTGGTTATTTTTAGTTTTGAATTTATTTTAGTTTCGTTTTGTGGGTTCATCGCATCCCTCCGTATTTCCTGATCAGATATTTGTATATACAGGGTGTCCATAAAGTTCGTGTGCACTTTAAAACAATTATAACTTTATTTGGATTTGTGATAGAAATAATCTGTAAAATGTTATAAATTTTAATGTACCTAGTTTTAAGTATAGCTAAAATAACTAATGTGATTTCAGGCATTACTGTAAATCAGTTGGCAAATGTTTTCCATGAACTGCAAAATCGTATTACCCTTTGTATTGCTAATGACGGAGGACATGTGGAAACTTAAATAAAATTTCAATAAAACCTTAAAAAATATAGATTTACTTCTTTCTAATTCTATGATATGATATTTACCCAAGACCTCCCGACAAGGTGGGATATGGCCCAAGGCCGGTTATTTTACGTGGGGAGATTCCGAGCTCGTAAGCTCGGGCAAAAATTGCCCGTAGACTCTGTATACATGGGGTTGGGTAGATGTCTACCTCCCCAGACGAAAACCTGTCCTTCGGCATAGACTTGTCTGGGTTCCTCTCTGCCCGAAGGTAGATAGGTCGACAAGCTGAATATTACCAAGAACTCAGAGCTCTAGCGAACTCTTGTCTTGTAATCTGTCAGTGGGTTATCGTC